AACTTTTACTATTGAAAAGATACTTGAAAGCATTACGTGTTTTTAACCATTGTCTCAATAATATTTTAAACCTTTAATTGCACATTTTGTTCAATTTCATAGAATCACAGACTCATTAAGTTGGGAAAGACCCTTAAGATCATGATTTCAATCAAGATTGATGGAGGCATAGAGACTTCAATGATATTAAGTCCCTATATAGTTTTTGAAAAATCAGTGAGTGTGAGGAGGAGGGAAACCCAAATGAATGCCTTCACTGAGATGTGGCTGGAGCCTCAGAGCCTTCAGGCTCTTAGGCCTTCAGCTCCATGGCTGAAATGTGAATTCAGCTGTTATCTTCTGTTTTTCTTGGTCATATACCTTTTAGCACATGGGATCTTGGTGCCAACCAATGCGTAAGTTCTTTAACAGGTATTTAGTGGACTCAGAAGCAACTTGAGTACCAAAATATTTCAATGGGCAGTCAGGAAGTTTTCAGGGGATCTGATGGTAGAGTGCAGGGAAATCATGGCATGTACAGAGAGGGCACTTGCAGTTACTGCAGTGAAAGGCATTGGGATATAGATACAGATCTGTAGAAAAACAGGCTTGCTTAATTCTGTTACAGAGTAAATTGCTGTATCTTTATTCTCTTCACTGTGAAGCACTACTGCATCTGGATGTATGTCACAACAGTTTTAATAATTAACTACAGCAGAAATTGTTTCAGAGATGAGCTTATCTGCACTCATTGTTTCCTCATTCACGTGTTTCCTCATTCTGTTTGCTGCTTCTGTTATTTCTCATTTAGCTGTGGTGTACTGCTGTAGGCTGAGTGCTTACTGCAAATCTGCTGTTGGATTCAGCATTTTTTGGATTCCATGGTAATGAACATGGCAAAAAAAATTCTTTATAAGATATGATAAAAGTAGGCCAATTCAGGTTCAGCAAGAGCTTGTGTCTGCTTCTTTTTTAACTTAGTAAAATGTTCCTCGTGATGAATGTTCATGATATACTCTGGCACTTCAGCAGTGGAAACTTGATTTGCAAGGATCTGGAAAAATCATAAAGCTCTGCTATTGTAAATTAGTTATGCATTTTAATTGCAAGTGTTCTGATATTGTTATAGAATGGATTTACATGGGAGACTAAAATGGAGACACTTACTGCTGACAATGGAAAAAGTACTAAAGATGACACAGCCAATGGTTACAGAAGTGTAAAAGACTGCATCTATACAGGCTTTAAGGGTACCTGTGTAAAGGAGCAATTCTGAAGATTTTCTTTCAGTTAATACGTAAAGAATATTGATTTTGTTTCCTTATTATAAAACCAAGGAATGATGAAAAATAAGAAAATGACAGTGCTGTAATGAAAAACTTTCTTGCATCTGTGTTTGTTCTGCTGTATTGTTACCAGTTCCCATATATCCATTCAAAATCTTTTATCAGTATAAAGATACAGTAAAGTAGTGCATGTTAACAGTAAAATAAATTGTTAATGTTAAATACTGCTTTTTTATAATTTTACTTTTTCAAAGTATTACATTGGAAACAAGTTAGTTTATGGACTATTAGTAAGTACCAGGGAGATACAGGCTATGTAGCTGCTTTTTTCTCTAACCCTTTATTCCATGTTTACAGCTAAGCAACAGTATAGCTTGCATTTTAGGAAGTAATATTATTTATCAAAATATTTTCAAACTAATCTAGGGGGCAGGGGAAGAAGAATTGTTGTAATGCTAAAATCTGGATCTCACTCCACCCACAGCACTTTATTCAAACATCCACTCTTGGAAAACAAACAAACAAAAAACCACCCACAAAAAAGTCAGTCCCACAAACTACCTATTAGAACGCCTTTGAATATTCAACAGTTCAAAAGCATTTCTAAATAACATATTTCCTTCTGTGTCATTTAAAGAGCTAAACTAATCTGTTTTCTTTCTTTTGTGGATATGTTTTGTGCCAATATTTCCAGCTGTTTCCACCATTTCAAATCTGTGGTCTGAAACTTAAACTATGTCTATTGTTTCACAAAGCTATGTGTGCATGTCAAGTTCAGTTAACTGTACTCTGTCAAACTTTATGTTAAAAAAGCCTTTCAGTCAAAAAAGAGACTTTAGAAATAGTAAGAGTTTTAAACAGATTGTTGTAATGTAAATTGGCTCTAGATGTACAATGAAATGCATACAGAAGACTTAGAATGAGAATGTTTGCATGCCTGGGTCAGTAAGAATTTTCCTTATAGATATTCTACAACTTTTTATTATAGGCATTCCCTGATAATGCTTAATTTGTTAACTAAATTTCTTAGAGCAATATAGAAGCTTTCAAATTCTACACCTGAAATATGGATTTAAAATTTCACTTCTGGAGCTGTTTAGCATATGAATAATATATTAAATAAGCTGGTCTTGAGCTGGTAGTTCCATTTCATTGTTCTCCTCTGACATCAGTGTATCAGACTTGCAGAACAGTACACTGTGACAATATGTTTAGGTTTAAACAATTACAGATAATTAGAATGGTAAGTGTCATGATGTACAAGTATTAGTGAAATATGTTTTTAATTATTACTTTGCTTTGTGTCATATTTCATCCCTTCAAGCCAGCAATACCCTCAAGATGCTTTAGACCATTAATGGAACTTCTCCATTCCTTACTAATTATCTGTAATTAATACCTTGCTAAAAAGTTGGAATTGCTTAGTCTTGTCCTAGTATCATTCATTACCCATATATTTAAAAATGTAACTTAATTTTAATTCAAAGTAAATTCTTTTATAGATATTTTTTTCTGAAATTTTCTCTTCCCTTCTGAGGAAAAATAAATATAGATATATTTTTTTTAATCTGTATGTTATTCACATTAGTAGAAAATAGTTTGCGTTCTACCAGAAAATTTTCCTTAAAACCAAACCAAACCAAAAAAGGAAACATTTTGGTAATAAATATTTGGAATTGAAAGTTACTAGGCCATTTTTGGTTTCATTGGCAATTTATCTCTGGACCTCTTTACTCGAGAGATTGCTCCATTTTAAATATTTTGGAGCTAGAGTTCCCTATTCCTTTCTATTTTCTGTTGACCTTTTTTGTATCTCGATTAAGGAATATAAATAATTTCTGGTTAATTTAAAAATATTTCAAAGTGTCTTTTTGAAATCCCTATTTTCTTTAGTATTCTGAAAGAAGTCTTTCTTTTTAAGTTACTCTATCTTCTTGTGTCTGTTTTGCTTTGTTACTCAAAGCACTTAAAATCTTCTGTAGAGAAGTATGACACTTAAATTATGTTTCTTTCTAAGTAGGCTATGTAAAAGGATCTTCTTTTTGATTGCAGTCATGACCAACTAAAATGACAAAAATTACTAATTTAAGTAATATAAAAGTGATAATGATGATTTTTCTAAGACGTCTGTGTGTGTTAGTAATACAATTCAGCTGTGTAATGCTGATGAATTCCTTGAATTTCACTGATACAGTATAAAACAAGAATAGAAACTAAAAATTTTCTTCGTCTTTTTATTAAACTTCTTGAGGAAATTATTAAAGAAAAAAGCAAGTTGTATTGCAGCATTTTTATTTGGATCTTCTTTAACCCACTTAGGTTTTTGCATTCTTGACAATTTTGAATTCTTGAGTCCTGGAGGAGACTGTGAATTACTGAGCACAGTATCTGGACTGTCACATTTTATTCGAAACACGAATTTGTAGACACATGGTTAAATTTGACACAGTGGAAGGGTTATTTCAACTTTTGTAAAGGAAAGTTTTGTAAAGGAAATGCATTCCAGAGCTAATTGTCATTCTTTAAGGAGTTAACCAGCTTCTTGTTTGAGGTGGCTGAAGCTGATAACAGCCTACTTGCATAATAAGATGTTTCACTGAAGCTTTTACCAAAGGCTTTTTAAGGAAACTGAACAGATTTGGGATAAGAGTAAGGGTTTACCAGAATATATTATTTGTAAGAAAATATGATTGCTGTGTTCTTATTTACTTATCCTTGACTACCCACTGTCAACCTCTACTAGAGACTGGATACTGGGCTAGCAAGCCTGTGGTCTTATCAAATACATCCATTTTTATGAAAGACCCTATCTAAAATATCCTTCCTTGTTACATGTAATTCATGTTTCTGGATGGTCTGGTAATTTAGCAATATGAAAATAGACTAGAATTTTCTTATCTTAATCAGGCCAATTTATCTTGAGGTAGTCCTGCCTGATAAGCTCCCAGTTCCTGCTTTTGTACCTACCTATGTTTTGGTTTGAGAGATTCTGCGCGCTACTCGGTTTTCCATCAATAGGATTCTTATAATCACTAAATATAGGAAACCAAACTGCTTGGGAAGGGTGTGTTAACAGAAGAATGCCTCTTCTAAATGACTAAAAAGTGGACAATTTGTTGGGGGGTTTTTTGGTGGTTTTTTTTTTTTAATCTGAAAGGCTCATGGAGCAGCATGAAACTTTGCTATTTTGTGTGCAGATAGCTGCAGAAAAATACAGAGGGAAACATGTAAGGAATAAAGAGGTTCTTAGTTAATACCATCCTTTTTTGATGCTGCAAAAACCAAACCAGACAAGACTTTGAAGAGTCATGCTTCTACAATTTATTAACTTGTTCCCATACTCTAAAAGTTTGTCACTAGAAGGTTGATGATTTCTTTTGGTGAGGCTTCAACTCTATCAAAATTTTTTTTATACATGTAACTTCTCATTGATTTAGTTAACAACATAAAGGTGTAGCAAGATACTTGCAGCACCTAACTGAATTAATTTGTGGTTATGAAGTGTTTATTTACTTCTCTAACACTTTGCTGGAGAGCTAGAATTTGGCATAAGCTTCTTGGAAGAGTTTTATTTCTGAACCATCCTGAACCTGCCTATCTAATACAGCAAGTATTATTCTGGACAGGACTGTTGAGGTGTAAGGTTTAATTAATGTAAGAAAATCTGTTATTGCTTAAAAGTATGATTTCTTTAAGACTAATTAAGAATATTTATTCTTTTTTAAATTACTACAGTGTACAGACTATGACCTGGATTATGGAACTGAATGTTTACATCTGGCTCTGAAATACTGTAAAACAAATGCCAAACTTGTTGAAGGAACAGCTGACCTCTGGAAGGTAAAGGCAATAATAATCTCTATTTTTTATATATCTTTTAAAATTAATAAAATTTTCACACTACCATAAAAATTCAGATGTGTTTTCAATTGTAGTATTTAGGCTTTTCTCTTCCAAATTTCAGAATTGTTTTTGGATTATCGTGAGCTTTTTTTAGAGCTCATTGTTGTGGACAGAGTTGGGCAGGTGTCACCCAAGATAATTGATGAAGACAGTATTTATCTGGAAGTAGAAAAACCAACTAGGTACTTGAATAACCTGAGAATCTGTAAAATTATAATTCCATAATCTCTAAAACTAAGAACATTCTTTTATGAGATGAGCTTTCTCCTGCTATTTCTATATCTTTTGTGTATTTTCCTCCACTTTTTCTATGAGGACATCACTTTTTCTCTGATGCCAAACACATGGCTAACAGTTTGATTTTTAGAGCAGTTCATTACATTCAGTAACACTGTAATGTTTAAGAATTCTTCAGTCTTTTAAAATTTTTTAAACCTCATTCACCTTGTCTGATAATCTGTAGGTTCCTGACAACTGACAAAGCAGGTGTGTATACAGGTGGCAGAGGATATATTCCTGCTGCTTAAAAGAATCCCATTTCACTGTTTTGGATGGTGGAACATTATTCTTTCTCAGCAGCTGTTGTGTCATGCAATTTTTAAGTGTTTCTTTTTTTCTTTTTATTTATTTTTTCTTTTTTTTTTTCTTTTTATTTTATTCATTACCACATTGAAGGATCTGGAAGCAGCTCAAATCACTCCATTTGTCTTTGACAGTAAATTTCCTCCAACGGGACATGATTTCTAATAATATGACACTAAATCTTACACAGAAAGGTAATTTCCTGAATCTGCAGTGCAAATTTCCTGTGCAATTTAGCAGCAGAATTTACTTACACGTTGGTTGCATACAGCAACTTCTTTCAATATCTTTCTGGGATATAGTCTTTCTTAAACAGTATGTTGTCTGTTTTCTTATTCAGTCTTCTAAAGGACAGATTATGTCATGTGTATTTGCATTGCATCACTGTTTGGATGGTTTCATTGTTCTCATTGCAAAGCATGGTACTTACGTGAAGGGTAACAAAATACACCCATAATGTTCACTCAGTTCTTTATAATGTTTATTTAGTTTTTTACTATCTGTAGATACTACTCATGCCCAGCAGATGAAGTGTAGTCTTTTGACCTAGAATGACAGAGTAATTAAGACTGAAGGAAATGTCATCTGGTCCAACACCTTGCTGAAAGTTGAGCCAGGTTAGTTAGATTAGGCTGTGCAGGGCTTTGTCCAGTTGAGTATTGAGTACCTCCAAGAATGGAGATTTCACAGACTCTCTGGGGAAAACAATTCCAATGCATATCCCCCCATATGGAGGAAACTTTTTTCATAATATTTGGTCAGCATTTCCCTTACTGTCTCTTGCATTGGGAAAGGATGAAAGGCCGACAGAAAAATCTGCAAGAAAAGTCCAGTTTACTCTTCTCTATGGCCATTAATTATGACCCTTCCCCACCCTTCATCTTCTGTTCTTTGGGTTGAACAAACCAAGTTCTCTCATGCCATCTTAGCAGCCCTTTGCTGGGCTTCCTCCTGTTCCTCATTGCGTTATACTGGGGAGCCCAAAACTAGAAACTGTACTCTGGTGAGTTCGCAGAAGTGCTGAGTACAGGGGAATAATCCCTATATTCCCTGTAATGAAGTCTACTTCCTTACTAATACAGCCCAGTCAGTAGCACTCCTTTTTTGCACTGCTACACACTGCTGACTCATGCTTAGTTTGTCCAGAAGGTCCTTTTCTGCAAAGCTGTTTTCTATATTTTGGCATCAGTATGGACTGCTGCACAGTGTTATTCTGTCCCAGATGCAGGATGCTGTATTTGTGTCTGTTATATTTCACAAGGTTTCTGTCAGCCCCTTTCTCCAGCCTTTCTGGATCCCTCTAAATGAGTGTTGTACCCTTGAGCATATTGAATACTTCCCCATTTGTTGTCATCTACTAATTTGCTGAGGGTAATTCCCCTTTCCCAGGTTATTAATAAAGATATTAGACAGTATTGTCCCTAGTATCAGCCCCTGAGGAACAACACTAGTAACCAGCCCCCAGTTACACTTCAGATTTGAGCTTGTGCACATCTCTGTTTTAAAAGAGAATTGTTGAAGCGTTAGTGCCACTCCAGCATTGCTGGTGAAACGAAATCCTGATGCTGTTAACCTTCTAGCATGTGGGACCTACTGTAGTAGTACTGGACTTTAAAGAGGCCTGTAAACAAATGGAAAATGGTAACATGTGAAGGGTGAATTCCTTGTAGGTGATCGGATATTGGACGGAGAACTTTTTTAGCTGGTGGCATACTGGAGAATATCATGAAGAAGGAGATTCAGGTAGAAAAGCTGAAAATACTGTGGACCAGGTGAAAGAGTCTGTATTGGGTTTGTGTGGCAAGATTTTGGTGGTGGGAGGGCTACAGGGGTGACTTCTGTGAGAAGCTGCTAGAAGCTTCCCCTTCATCTGATAGAGCCAATGCCAGCCGGCTCCAAGATGGACCCACTGCTGGCCAAGGCCGAGCCCATCAGTGACAGTGGTAGCACCTCTGAGATAACATATTTAAGAAGGGGGAAGAAAAACTGCACAACTGCAGCCAGAGAGAGGAGTGAGAACATGTGAGAGAAACAACTCTGCAACACACCCAGGTCAGTGAAGAAGGAGGGGGAGGAGGTGCTCCAGGTGCTGGAGCAGAGATTCCCCTGCAGCCCGTGGTGAAGACCATGGTGAGGCAGGCTGTCCCCCTGCAGCCCAGGGAGGTCCACGGTGCAGCAGATATCCACCTGCAGCCCAGGGAGGACCCCATGCCAGAGCAGGGGGGTGCCCGAAGGAGGCTGTGACCCTGTGGGAAGCCCGTGCTGGAGCAGGCTCCTGGCAGGACATGTGGAGAGAGGAGCCCATGCTGGAGCAGTTTTTCTGGCAGGACTTGTGACCCCGCGGGGGACCCATGCTGGAGCAGCCTGTGCCTGAAGGACTGCAGCCCATGGAAGGGACCTACACTGGAGCAGTTTGTGGAGAACTGCAGCCCATGGGAAGGACTCACATTGGAGAAGTTTGTGGAGGACTGTCTCCTGTGGGAGAGACCCCACGCTGGAGCAGGGGAAGAGGGTAAAGAGGAAGGAGCAGCAGAGAGAATGCGTGATGAACTGGCTGCAACCCCCATTCCTCTTCCCCCTGTGCCGCTCAGGGAGAGGAGGTAGAGAAATCGGGAGTGGAGTTGTGCCCGGGAAGAAGTGAGGGGTGGGGGGAGGGTGTTTTAAGATATTTCTCGTTACTTTACTCTGATTTGATTGGTAATAAATTAATTTTCCCCAAGTCGAGTCTGTTTTGCCTGTGACGGTAATTGGTGAGTGATCTCTCCCTGTCCTTATCTTGACTCACGAGCCTTTTGTTATATTTTCTCTCCCCTGTCCAGCTGAGGAGGGGAGTGATAGAGTGGCTTTGGTGGGCACCTGGCATCCAGCCAAGGTTAACCCACCACAGAATCTCAGTGCTGACAGTACTGTGCAGTGTGACAGTAGCAACAGCACACCCATTTGCATGCAGATACTGTGCTGCAGGCCATGCAAAGCAGCGAATATGCTATATATAGTATACACAAAGATGCTGGTGCCATGTCATTAAAGTACCTGTACCTTCTCACATCCTATTCCGTGTCTTATTTTGTAGCTAAAAGTCATTGGTGTCTTCTGTGGCTTGTGAAGACATTGAAAGTAAAAGGCATAAAAGTGACGAGGTCTGTGAAATAGTAAATTGCTTCTGCAGCAAATACTCGTATCAGAATAGAGGCCACAGAGGAAGATAGCTCCTTCCTGCTTGAATAGCACCCTGGTGTTGTTCACTCTGTACTGGGGTGTTTGGCAGGTGACTCGGAGCAGTACCATTAAAGAAGAGAACACTCGTGCTCGGTTTGTGCAGTTTGATGAAGTGCAGAAGACTGCCAATTTTCTCAAGTGATGCTTGCCTACAAAATCATTAGGAGCTGTTAGTGTTTGTTACTAATCACCTTTTAGAAGCAGAATTGTCTTTTCTTAGCTGTCATAATAATGTAATTTGTAATATGTTGGTTTTTTCTGGAAGGCTTTTCGATGCTGACATAAATTATATTTCATATGCCAAGAACTGATGTGCTCCCAATGACCCCAGTCTTATTTTTTTCAAAAGAGACAAAAAGATATTCCATCCAGATAAATGAAAACTGAAATAAATAATCATTGTTCAGTTGAGGCTTCAGAGGATTTGTAACAGAAAAACTGCAGTCTATTAACTGGTGAACAGTTTCTGAAGTCCAAGTACTACAAACCAGTTTCATCCTATGCGGAGCTTAAATCATTAAAGAGCAGATCTGATATTTGTAAGAGTTCAGTTTGTTTATTAGGTGCACAACCTACATAACATTAAATGACTTGGAGCTATGGGAAAAAGTTACTTATGTGTTCAGATATATTGTTTTCTTGAATTAACTCTATTTCACCTGAGCACTGTCTACTTGCAGTGCATTAGAAAAAGTAACATTACAAAGTTACTTACCATTGAAGCTAAAGTAAGAGATAGTTTGTTTACTTTCTGGTAGCAAATTACAAAATTAAAATCATTCTTTGTAGTGACGACAACAGGAACATTCAAATTACTTCAGTGTTATAAATATTTATTAAGTTCTATTACAAATGTAGTTATTATATAACTATTTATAAGATATTTAGGATCAGGATGGCAAAAAAGGAAACAGAATGACACTATCAACACCACATTTTCAGTTTCTCTGTGCTTGACACCTTTGAAACTGTCCTGGTTGCAGCTGGGACAGAGTTAACTGTCTTCCTAGTAGCTGGTACAGTGCTCTGTTTTGAGTTCAGTATGTGAATAATGTTGATAACACTGATGTTTTCAGTTGTTGCTCAGTAGTGTTTAGACTACAGTCAAGGATTTTTCAGCTTCTCATGCCCAGCCAGGGCACCTGACCCAAACTGGCCAACAGTGTATTCCATACCATGGGACATCCCATCTAGTTTAGGAACTGGGAAGTGGGGGGGCAGGGAATCGCGGCTCGGGGACTGGCTGGGTGTCGGTCGGCGGGGGGTGAGCAGTTGCCCTGCGCATCATTTGTACATTTCAATCCTTTTATTACTACTGTTGTCATTTTATTAGTGTTATCATTATCCTTATTAGTTTCTTCTTTTCTGTTCTATTAAACTGTTCTTATCTCAACCCACGAATTTTACTTCTTTTCCCGATTTTCTCCCCCATCCCACTGGATGGGGGGGAAGTGAGTGAGCGGCTGCGTGGTGCTTAGTTGCTGGCTGAGGTTAAACCACGACAGAAACAAAATGACCTTATGTATTCTGGGGCAATATCCTCTTAAATAAAGTATAAAATCATGTAACAGAATGTAATTGTTGGAGTCTAATATATATATGTGTGTGTATAATGCAGATGAAAAATGCATTTTGAGAACATTTTTAAAAGATTGATATGCATTTAAAGACTTAATGCTGATAGTGCAAAAAATCCTCACCATTTCTAAAAAGAAAGGTTATTTTCTAATCCTACAAAAATATCCCATACAAAGAAGATATGTTTGATACCTTAATAGAACAGAGGGAGGTACTTCATTAAACTAAAATGCCATGCATTTTGTGTATGTGTGATCATAACTTTATTGTGCTTGTTTGGTAAAGAGTTATGTTTTGCATTTAACATAGAGTTTTGTAAATCTGAAATGTTCATCAAGCTAAATAATTTTGAAGAAGACTTATAATCATTAAATGGAAAGAACATTGAGAGACTTTTAAAAGAGCATCTTCCTAGATAGTGAAAAGTTGTAGTCTGACTATTGAGAGAAGGGCACACAGGAAAAAACCCAACCAACCAACCAACCCTTGTCTGATGATTTTGAGGCTTTACTAAATAGATATAGTAGATTGTTTATTATATAGAAAAGTAGAGAAATGTTTAATAAGTAAGATTAGTCTGCCAAAAAAACCCAGATGATGGTTTAATATTCTGTGATAGAGAGGTCTTTGTGTTGAGTTTTAGTATTTGGCCTAGCGATATTCTGGATTGCAGCAATAACATTCAGAAAATCTTGGAACACTAGATGCTCAAGAGGACAAAGTGAAAATTAATGTTGTCACATGAAGAGAGAGAATCTGAGTAGTCAGAAGCCTGTGAGTTCGATATTGATCAACAAAACAAAAGAGGGCACTGCCACAGGCAGAACTTGATTAATGAAGAGTTAAGGGGCTAATGTAATTAATGTCAACCAACATGGAATTTACTTATTTTGTGAAATTGACCTCAAGCCTTTTTTACAAGATTACAGTCTTGCCTGATAAAGATGGTAGTGCTGATAAAATATACGGTTGGCAGAAGTTTGACTTGTTACATCTTAATTAAAAATAGGATGACTGTAATTGGACTAGTCCTCATTAAATAGATTAAAAATTGGATAACTGATATATTTCAACAGATAATTGTCACCACATACAGTTCCGCAGAAACTCTTATTTTTTCTAAGCTATTTAACATTTGTCTGATAAAGTTTGCAGACAACACAAAGATTTAAGGATTTGTAAATAAAAATATAGTTGATCAGAAGTAAACTATTGATAAGGATTGCTTGGAAAACAATTTAAACAAAAGGTCTACTTTTCATTGCAGCGAAACATAAAGAAGTGTTTTTAGAAACAAAAAAAGGTATAGGCCATATTTAGAGAATTGTTCTAGGAAGGCAGTGACTTTGAAAGTGGTGTAGGAATGACAGAGGATAGCAAGTTTCCACTGTGGGCAAAATACCTTATGTCAGCCACAGATATAGAAACAATATGAAATTAAAAGAGATGTTCTAGTATTACAAGTGCATCTACAATACCATAGTCAAATCTAGACTCAAGCTCTGTGCAACTGTTGATAAATAGAGAAGGTTCAGAGAAGAGCATGAAAAAGAAGATTAATGGTGATTTGGTAAGTCCGAGGAGATTTAGCTTAGTAATGTGATATAAAAAAAAACCCAGAAATGGATGAGGTAGAAGATCTCTCTTCTGCAAAGTGAGAGACCTCCTGTGTGTCATTTTGCTTACTTATTCTTTTTCCACTGTGATTTTTGCACCTCACCTGGGCTGTGAGAGTGGAGAGTGCCATCTTACTTTATGGTATAGAGTGGCAGTTAAAGTATTCTTCCTGGTTGATTTGGCTAGATCTGAATTGCTTTTTGCTGGGGTGAGCCTAGAAAGCAAATCCACTTCAGTGAAACTAGAGATAAAGCAGTATAGCTGCTCAGAACAATGAGCTATCATGTTGACTATCCTTAAAAGTTGTTTAAAACAAATTCATACTAAACCAATCAATGGTTAGAATTAAACAAAAGGGTGTCTCTGTCGTGGTTGCCTGCCTTTTGAATAAGTTTCATCTAAAATGAAACTTTGGTTGGATTTAGCATCTTATTCAATATTGAAAGAGGTGTGGAGAATCCCGCCCTCCCTGACTGGTAAGTGGTGGTCACCTGTGGTAGCTGGCAGGGTTTTTCCCTCTGTCAACTTTACTATTTTCATAAAACTTATAGGAGCTTGTATCTGAAATTAGCTTATAGGATCAAAGATTATGAAAGAAATATATATGGATAGTGTGATATGGTCTCAGATGATTTATTTCTCTAGGAAACCATCCTAAAAAGTATTTGCTGATGTCTGGTTCAGAATTTCAGAAGTGATTTTAAAGGTTCATTCTTAATTTTTTATTCTTCTGTGTTGTTTTCTCGAAGACTGGGCCTACTTTATGAAGTAACTTCTTTTTAAAATCAGACTATTTAAAAATACTTTTGCATATCAAAGAGATTGTGAACCTTAGAGTATGTTAAACCACTTTTGACAGAGCTTAGTCTTGTTTCTTGAAAGTTTTTTAGATGGTAATCTGATACAGGTTTACTGAAAGTTCAGTATAAAAGCCCTCTGGAAACAGGTAATTAGAAAGAAACCTTGCAACAAAATTGGTCACTCAATAACTCTTTATCCTTAAATTTAAATTCAAGACATTGATTCTTCCTAACAGTATGTAAACTCAGACACCTGAGATTTCTCAGGCTAGATTCACTCTCTGGCTGCTTCTCCTGCACGACAAGCTGTAGGGAAGTAAGTTCATTTTTAATTTTAAAAGAATGTAATTCCTTGGAGAAATGATGAGTAATGAGAAAGGTAATATTATTAATCTGTTTCTGAGTACAATACACAGCTTAATTTATGAGATGGAAAAGAGAGCAGTTACAAGAATCCTTATGTTAAAATCAAATAGTCATTTACTTGGAGACTAAAATGCTGATACCTACAATGGTATGTCTCTGCTGTAAGATTTACTTTGCAGCACTTAGGCTTTTGGAATCCGATTCAGTCCATTTCAAAAAGATAGAAGAAAATTATTCAGACTCTAGAGAAACAAATGCAGAAAATCCAGTAATATTTTATTTAACATAAAAGGAAGTTGCAGTAAAAACAAAGACAAGTATTTAGGAGTTATTCTTATATAAGATCATGTCACTGAATGTCATTGCAAAGACATTGCTAGCGAAGACTGTTAATGTCTTGGGTAGACACTGTCTTTAGTTTTCTGTTACTTTATTTGCAAAGCCTAATACTGGGACTGTCAACCACCATGAGGGTACAAAGGCAGATATGAAAGGTGGTTTTTTGCAAGTATCAAGTAAGTATTTGTCCATCTTATTGTCGATCTAACTTGATCTGAATGCCTTCAAGAAGATCTTGATGGTTTTTAATCCTCTGAAAGTTCGTACAAAGCCTATTATAGTCTCACTGACTCCCACTGATTAATTGGACTCTCATTAACAGTAGTAGTCTTTCACTACTGAAAAACTACACCTATATTAGTAAAAGAAATAATGAGGCTTCTCCCTGGCTGTCATTCTCATGATCATAAGTCCTATAAAAAATTAATCTATTTCACAATAAAATTATAGAATAGAATGGATGTGTGAAAATAGGTGCAATATCATGGGTTTTTTTGATTCTTCAAAGGGTTAAAAAGAGTTTTACGTTTCAAATGAGTTCTAAGCAGATCTAAGTATTTAAAAAAACGTTTCTCTCGAGTCTCCAGTATTTTCTGCAACTTCTGTTCTCATGACTTGCCAGTCATATTTTACTAGAATTAAGGAATTGACAATATCATTTGTTTATGGTATTTCAAATGTAAAGAATTGCCTTCAGGGCATTGTTTTATTGGTTTTACATTCCTTCCTGCTATGTTAAATCTAATGAGGCTTGTCTGTCCTTTAGGTGACCTACAAGCGGGATCTATATGCAGCTGAATCGATTATTAAGGGTATGTGTTCGTCCTTGTGGCTGTCAGTTTACATATTCCTGATCAGTTTGCATATTCCTGAGTCTAATTAAGAATCTTGTGTGCTATAGTTTTAAATGTCTTTAAGAAAAGTTTTATGATGAATAAAATGCGCTTAGGCAAGTTGTTTTAGCTTGTTCACGGGAATACTTATATTATGCATTATTTACCTTTATTTACTTCTCTTAGAATAGAGAACCTTATAAAAAGCTGTGTATATTACAGAGTCAGAGATTAATTTTGAATGGCTTTATAAGGAATAAACATTTTTCTTCTTTCATTTGCAGTTCGAATCTGAATGTGTTCCATCTTTCTGATCTAAGTAGTAGACTGAAAATTAAATATTAACTCTTTATGGCTCTTCACTTTTTACGTACAGCAACTTGTTATCTAAATTGATATAGCAATTATATGATATTGAGGTATTCCATTAATTTAGAAATACTTTGTTGAACTGTTTTTTAGCTGTTTCCTGTGCTGTTAACAGTGGTTTCATAGCAGTTTAACATAAAGACTAGATTTAGTCTTTATCCAGATCGACTCAATCTGAAAACAATGTAGAAAGGAAGAACTCTTAAGTACTGTATAATGAACACACTGATGGTTATTGTAAATGGATAGGCACTGATTCAGGGGACTGTTGCTTGACTCCTTGATGAGAACTGAGGGATAAAAGCCCAGAAACTGAGGAAGAGAAAGGGACTTCCCTTTGAATTAAAAATACCTTTCCAGAGAAAAAAATGTGGTTCCTATTTAAGAAAAACAGAGCAAAACACATGTCCTTTTAGGGCATGGTGAGTGACTGGCTAATTGTCCAATTTGTTGGCTCATGTCTTGTTAGAAGATCCAGTATTGGCTTAGTTTCTGCTTTGGGTAAACTGTACTATGCCAAGATCAGCTCTGTCAATGTAGACAAGCTAGAAAGCTTAAACAGAGCTCAGATATTGCTGTGGTATTCTGCATGCTGCTTCACTAGACCTCCAGGAATGCAACAACTTCGAAGTTTCTGGTTGTTACAGGGGGCAAATATTGCATATTATATGCATTGCTAGAAGTACCTGACTGAATTTTTCAGGCATGTATCAAGGAGGTAGGGCTGGGAAACCTTAGAAGTTCTGTTTTTGACAGGGAATGGCCTCTCATCTCCATAGCTGGAGGCCTGGAATTTTTGAGAATCTTGTTTTGAGTAGGATTCTTAGAGGCTCCACACTCCTCTAGCTTTCAAGCTTAGGATTTCCAAACATATTAAGGACAAGAAGGTGGCTGGGAGTAGTTGGCCTGAATTTAGAAAGGGGAAATTATGCCTGACCAACCTGATAGCCTTCTACAATGAAATGGCTAGCTTGGTGGATGAGAGGAGAGCAGTGGATATGGTTTGACTTGATTTCAACAAGGCTTTCGACACTAGTTCCCTTGGCGTTCTCATTGACAAACTGATGAAGTACAGACTAGAAAAGTGGACAGTGAGGTGGATTGAAAACTGGCTGAACTGTCAGGCTTAAACAGTAAAGTCCAGCTGGAGACCAGTCACTAGTGGTCTATGCTAGGGGTCAGTGCTGGTTAATATCTTCACTAATGATCTGAATGATAAGGCAGAGCACACCCTCAGCAAGTCTGCAGATGATGTGAAATTGGGAGGAGTAGTTGATAGAACAGGTAGTTGTGCTGCCATTCAGAAGGACCTTGACAGGCTCAAAAAATGGGAGAACAGTAGTCTCATGAAATTTAACAGCTCGAATGTTGTTATTGTGGTTGTCATACGAGCAAAATGACGCATAAGACAAAAAAAGTAGTTAATAGAATGAATCGGTATGCAAAAGAGGGATTTCATGGTACAGTATGATATAAAATTAGGCAATGATTTTATCTTCTTGATGAATAAGATTTGGAACGAGTACTTTACCTTGAATGATAGATCAATGGAAAAAAAGGGAAGCTTCCAATCTTTGAGAAGTGCAAAAGTAATTACATTAAAAAAAAGGTTCTTTTCTTCCAGTCTAAATATAGATGCTATTATACTGTTTTCACTGAATTTGTAATTCTAATAGAGTGTATGCATGCTTTTACAGTGCAGACTACTTTTAATTTTAAGTATTATCTGTAATTTTATGTATTATCTATGTAGCAGAGACTGACAAAAATTCCCTCTGATGGTAATGTTAATAAGGCAATGTAGAAAGCTTATTCAGCTGCTTGGATGTGCTGTTTTGTTACAATATTTGTAAATATTTGCTGTAACAGGAATTGTCGTACTTCTGTCAGTCAAGCTTGCTGAAACCAATAATGCCAGCATGAAATGATGTAAATGCCATGAGTCAAGCTCAATGAATCTACTATGTTGGTCATATCTTGATAAAAGGTTCAATATTCAACTTGGAAATAATCTCAGCAAACTCATAGTGCTATGTTAACTTTGATCTTATTTTCCTTTTTCCTGTGTATTTTTCATATGTATTTACCATGTATGTTCTCAATATCTAATGGCAATTTATCATGAATGAAGTAGATCCATTTTCATTTCCATTTTCCTTGAACTTAACTGTAGACTGTACTTCTTCTGTAATACAAAGGCCAATTTATTGAACTATATCATTCAGTATTACTCAAATATTTAAGAATTATTTAGTTCAGAGGACCTTCAGGACATACTGAGGGTGTGTAAACTCTAAAGGAAAAGAAAAATCAAAACCAGTGCTGATTTATATTTTTAAAATGTTCTTGTTCACCTTCTTGCAGTTTATTTGATCCTTTTCTAGCTACATTCTTCTGCAGTGGGCAAGGAGAAAGCCAGATGGACTCCTTATGTAAAATAAGTTGCTTTATGTAGCCAGAGAAGTTGACAGCACCCTGCTCCTATCATTCAGCTGTCCAGTTTGCTTATGCCTCCTTCCCCACATATCCCCATCGTTACACAGCAGCTCTTGTGAAGGTGGGAACTAAGTCATCATGCTTCTTGTGGGGAAACTAGAAACAAATACAATGTGAAAAAATGGTTTCTGTGCTGTCCCTCTGCTGCCCTCTCATCCTTGTAAAGGTGACTCCTTGTATTCTTTTAATCAGTGCTATCCTTTCTTCTTTATAGATTATTTAGAAGAAAAACAAGTAGATTGGTAATATTTTGAGACATTTTGCTTAAAAAATGTTTTTATAGTATTTTATGCTAATTTTATGTAACACACTACTACTTCATACAAAAAATTTATAAACCTGAAACAATACTGCAACCTTCATACAAATGAATTTCCATGTTCCTGTGTGTACAAGGGCTTCAATAATCTCGTAAGTCATTAAAGAAGAATAGTTATAATTTATTTTAAAAATAAGATCCATTCCAAGCAGCTTTCTCTAAAACTGCTTGAGTAGAAAAAGAGAATGCAGCTTATTCAAATGGAAGGAACATTCACTAAGTTTAACAATTTCTGTTTGTAACTGGAGCAAAAACGCTGTAAATGACCAGTCATTCTCTTGATAGATGCATATTCTACTTGTGTATTTCATCATGTTATCACATTTTTTCTTTTCACTAAAGCCAATACAATCTTTTCCAGCTGTTGGTTGTGATAAAAAGTTTATGTAGCTTAAAGTAAAAATGAAGACCTTCATGGTAAATCAGGCTAATCCCTTACTTATCTAATGACCTGTTACTCTGGCAGCATGCAATGTATCTGCTTCAGGAATCACAGTAGTCTTTATTATGCCTGGTCTGTGTGAAAACCTGTAAGTACATTGAAGCTCAGATTTGCTTTTTGCTGCATTGCATGAGTTCAGGAAGTTCAGGAAGCCGTTTACTCGTTATGCGAGCAGTATAATGAGTCCTCCATAGCTAATTAGGACAGCCCATAACAGATTATCTTACATAATTAGTTATCTTTAATGGGGTTTTGAATAGACACTGTTAGCACTCCAAGTCTGCAGTTTGAGAGTTGTGCGTTATCTGTTCTGTGCCTTTCAAAAGTCTTCAATTACCAGATCTTCAGGCTGATACAACATGACTTATTTTTGTAGTGGACAGTTGAGCACTGAGTTGCTTGGCACTGGCTCCTAGTATGTCTGTAACCTTGCTGAGCACAGCTGGCAGTGATCTTTCCTACCTGTGTGGAGCAAAGGGTGCCTCTTCCTGACACTGTGTATCACTTCGGGTATAAATGGTGTTACCTGTGGGATGGGAGTCCACATGATGGTTCTTTGTGTCAAGTTGTTGAAGAGCATGCAGGACTGAAGTGCAGCATTGCGCACTGGATAGTACAGTCCTGTATCACATACTCAGGTGGATTCAGAGTCCAGGTTTGGACCACTTAGAGTGCCCGAAGGGGAAGTCCTGCATGAGGCTGTAAGGTAGGTCGCAAGGTACCAGCTCTCGGCATGCCACCTTGCATGCTATCGAGGTCCTCTGGAGATGTCCCAGAAGCCAAATGTATGGGCTGGGAGAGTGGAGGGTACTGAGGCCACTGGCCTTACACCAGCTCCCCACTGCTCTTCCAGGCTTCACAGCTGATTTTGGTATTATTAAGTGATCCAATTTACTTTGCTGGATGCATGTTTTATCACTGGATGTATTCAGCAGTGATGAACAACTTCTGAGTGTACACATTTAGTTTTGTGACTACAGTTCCAAATTTCATGTCACATACAGTTATATTTGTTAGTGACCGAAACTTGGTTTCCTTCAACTTCAGAGAATGACAGTTATCTTTTCTGTTAACCTGTTAGTATTATTTAGAAAATCCATTTAAGCTATATTAAAAGTCTTTGTTTTGATGAGAATTATTTGTCCAACTGTTCCCCTTCTGGTTTCAAATAGTATTTTTTTCTTTTGCTTTGAATTATGAACCTCAAAAGATCTTTAAATACTTAAATTTTTATGCTAGAATATTAAGGTTACACTTGTGCCTCTAGACAGTTTTTCTAAGGAATAGGTTCCTTGTGGTTCAGTTTGACATATTATTTTGCTACCCTGTTTATTTTTAAGGTACTCTTGCATT